TTTTTAATTCCACATGATAGAAAATTGCAATTAGACAAAAGATCTACAGTTTCCACTTATCACTAAGGCAGCTGTAGAAGAACAAATGCTATGATGTGATTACAAACAGGCAACAAGTGTAAATACAAAACCTGAAAATTACTAGAAAAATTCTTTGTGCCAACAGGCAACTAACTGACAGTCTGGTGTCAGTTATTCTGGTGCAAATAAAAAGTCAATAAATGTGTATATATCTAGACACACCAAACTAAATCTGACATTCAGCTCTGTGTAGATGCCACAGTTCCAAAAAACTCAACTTCTTAGTTTTACAGAGAATTTTGTTTCTCAGTCTCAACACATATATGAGGATAATTATGAGCAATCAAAGGTCAGACAACTTGATCAACAGTGAATCTCTGCAAATATACCACCATCCCACTCTGAAAGCCTGCTAAAACTATGAATTCAGATAGTGCACTATTAACACTCTGGGTCCAGTCCATTGACGCTCTTAAGCACATTATTATTTCAAGTAATAGTTAAAAACACTGAAATCAACTTGCTATAAAAACAACTGTTAGCTGAACATACAGGAACAAGACAAGACAAAGTTACACACAGTAAAGACAAAGCAATTAAGGGAAAAAACTTTTCATCTGAATGACAGAAAACTAAATCAAGGTCCAAATTCAAGGACTTTTGAAGTACTTGGAAGAACAGAATCTACTCCAGTCTACAATACTGAAATAAAATCAGATTTGTGGGATTCAGGTCTCTTTAAAACACAAAAAAGTAGTAATTTGGTGGAGTTCCTTCTTCAGCACACAAAACAGTGAAAGCCCAATGACAGTTAAATCCTGTCAATTTTGATACTTTGAAGGGGGAAAAGAAGTCAAAATGACACAGAGGTTAAATCAGTGAAGATAAAAGATAAGAAAGAACACAGTGAAGAGGGCTGGAATCTGATATATCTAACTTTGAGACATTTGATACACAGGCATGGGAGCAGTCTCAGAGATGGAGGGTTGTGGCCTTGGAAAATAGGCAAGTAAAACTGTCAGGGATGTTGGAAAAAAAAGTCCAGAGGGAGTCAGAAACAAAAATTACATCTTTGAATCTGAACAGGTCTGAGGCTGGAGAGAGAACTATGGGAGAACCAGACTGGTGGGAAAGGGAGGGAGAAGCACTGGATTTTTGAGGCATTCGAACTGGAAGTGTAATGTAATAAACTGGAGAGAGGGTGTTCAGATATATGAAATTAGGAGATAAGAGGATGAAAAAAGGACAAGGTATTACAAAATATAGTTAGGATGATGGTGCTACTCCCTTAAAGACAGAGGGAAGAGAAACTTTGTTGCTAGTGAAGGAGAAAAGTCCTTCAATTAACAGAATGAGAAGCCTAAAATATACAGAAATAAAAGGGGCAAACTTGTATAGTTAAGAGGCAGAGAAATTCAGTTCAGAAACATATCCTGAAAACGAAGGATAACTTTGAAAAGGATCTTGTCATGCAAAAAATCCAGACTGAAGATTTTGTTTCAAGAATGAATGGAGAACTAAAATGAACAGCAAATCTGCAAAGCAAGCTCAACAAGAAAAAAAGTGTGAGAGAAGAGTGGTTAAAAAGTCCATTTGTGAAGAGAATTAAAGCAGGTAAGGCAAAGTAGAGTCCAAAGCTGTGTTGTAACAACATACTCTTCAGTGACATTCAGAAAAGCTGGAATGGAAATTAAGAAATTACAAGAAAAAAAATGTCTGGAGGGAGAAATGGAGGCAGGACAATGTCAGAAGCAACCAAAGATACCATATATAGAGAAGCAGATAGAGATGAAAATAAAGACCAGTGAGTCAAAAGAAGTGAGACCAATGAAGGAAGGAGGCAGCTGAAAAGATAAAGGAGTCAAAAAGGTTAATAGATTGGAGATCCCAAAAGGAGTGAGTGACAGGGTAAAGGAGAGAGAAAGACAGATAAGCTGAAAGGGAGCAGGTAGTGATCAGAGAAAGGGAATTTATAAATGAGAGATAATAAAGTGAGCAGTATTTAGTAAAGACAAGGTCATGGGAATGATTGAGGCAGTGAGAAAATCTGTCTGAAACTAGAAATCACAGGCACTGGGCTGGGAAAACAGGATGTAGAACAATGGAGTAAAATACTTACTGGGGGGGGAGGCTTGCCCATGGAGAGGGATAAATTTTGAGAAGACAGAAATGGTTTGAGTTTAGCAAAGTTACAAAGAAGGAAGCAAACTAATGGCCACTAAGAAAACTAGACACAGAGTACTTCAAAATCAGGAAGAGGGTAGAGTAGACAACGGGACTGATCAAGCAGAAGCAGCAGAAGACAGGAGTTGTAAAACTTTAGAAGTGAATTTGAAAGAAAAACACTTTTTAAAAAGCATGAACTGCAGAAAAAAGATTCAAGAAAGAGAGTCAAGTTTGAAAAACAAACTTAATCTGTATTTAAGCAATCTTCAGAAACATAAGTAGCACTCTGCTTGGCGTGGCCAACACCCGTATTTCCTCTTTGGGTAATCTTGCCAGAAAGGTTTAGTTACTCACCCAGACCAAGCCAGAGATCAGAAATTCAGAAGACCAACACTGCTACTGTGTAGATGATCTGGGGTTATGGCTGGCTTGGAAAAGTTGTGACTGCTAAAGAAGTACCAAAAAGTATGGAAACGTGATTTCCAGATTAAATGAACTCTTCACAAAGCAGCCCTGAAAGCCTTTGTTGATTCTCCCTCACATCAACCTCCTGTTCCTTAAAGCTCAAATACCCAATGCAGCATTTACCACCGGCATTCAAATTCAGCCATTAAGATTCTCATCTCACTGTGTAGCAGCAAAGATAAGATATTAAGTAGACAGATTGTTGAAAACAAACATCACTGCGATTCTGGGTTCCATTCAGAGGTATCTGAGAACCACTGGTATAAGAAGTCCTTCTCCATTTCCAAGCCTCTGTCAAGAATTTCAGTCTATGGCTTTCTTAATCATGAGCATGAATAAAACACCAGCCTTCTCAGACACTTCTAATACTGCATTTCATCTTCTGGTACACTGCCATGTTTTTAAAGTTTCTGCTCATTACAAAAAGACGACACACTTCTATTGCCTGCTCATACAACTGGGAGCTGGATCATTAGAGTGAACAGAAGAGGGGAAAAAAAACCCCACATTATTCTCTGCTACCAAACCAGTGACATACAGAGAGTATAAAAAGTGAGCTGAGCATATAATTCCTAGATACACTGCTGATTGCTATTTATTCACGTGTGTAGATGAGGTTCACTCAAATTACTGAAACTACATAAAAACCAGCCAACCTATAAACAAGAGCTCACAGGACTGGGGCCATAATGGGAACTCGTTGTTATTTTCATGCTTTACTATGTATTTTCACACAGCATGAAAATGATTTTACACTTTTTAATTTTAAATTAAAACACTCCTTTAGGTTAATTGTGAATATACTGGATCCACTCTTTTCTGATAAACTTCTGACATATAATACAAAAAAGATTTTTTTTTTTTATTGTGATATCTTTGTTACAGCCAAGAAATCTCACCTGGAATCAACTACTGGAAGCAGTTAAGTCGTCCACAAGACAAGGTAGCATCTATTGTAACATATTATATATATATATATATATATATATATATCTAACAAGAAAAGTTTGAAAAAATATCATAGAAACACTGTAATTTTTACATTGTATTTAATATCAGTATGTTTTATTTGTATTAGACTACTGCACAGCAGGGGAGTTTTCAAGACAAAAGAGATTTTATGCAATGTCAAAGAAAGCACAAAGTTCACTCCTGAAGCAAGTTAATACCAGAGCATCACTGAAATCAAAGGAGCAGCTAGTCCGACATTTTGGGTAGAAATGTAACATGTTTTCTTCAAAGAAAATAAACACATAATGACGTAGCTTAAAATAAATAGTGCCATATGCCATCATCAACATATGAAAAAGAGAATGGTCATTTATGAAAGAAAATATTTTATTAGTATGTAGGACACATGGGAGTGTTATAACAGACTTAGCACTTTGATATGTTACCAGGTGCTTTACTTTAGGGATAGATTCTACAGTTCCCAGTTATGGAAGCAGTGGAATTAACCCACGTGGGTTTTTCAATTATAAAGTTTGGTACAGGAATCATCTGTACTTTTTATAGATTTTAAATCAGGAACAACTAATTTTTTACCTCAACACAAGATTTAATCACAAATACTAAATCTCCCCCCCCCACCATACTAAAAAAATTTAAATGCTTAAGCATGTACATCTGCTAACTCTTAACTCATCATTTTTTTGCTCAACATATCCTTCCAGAGGGAGAGATATCTATTAACAGTTTCTTTCAGGAAAAGTTCAATACTTTATGCATAAGACTAGATACAAATAGCCTGACTGCGTTGAGGGTGGGTTTTTTTTTTCAGTGATTTTTAAATATTCTAGGCCATTTCAGGAAAAAAAAAAATTGTATGAGTACTCGTGCATATTAAGAGCTAATCCTGGCAGTCAAGCAAGTATTGTGCTGCCTTTTTCAATATAAAGCGTTTCATTCTATGACATATAAAATATAGTTACAGAATATAACCATTTTAAAAATTATATAATCAGATAATAAACAAAAAAAAAAATACCTAGAGGTTGTAAGACACAAACCAAGGTTGCTCAAATACCTCTTCTCTACGAATTGCTCTACACAAGTCCTACAAGATTAAGCACACACAGAAGTGAGAAGAAAAACTATGGTTTCATAAGATTCATCCTACAAAATCTGGAAACAAAAATTTAAAAAATATGCATTAAGATAAGCCCATGATCTGGCATATACTATTTAAAAACTCCTGTATTTTACCAAATACAATTTCCATACACTTGGCAGTTTTAAAAAATACAAAAAACTAGAAACAACCCTGACCTAGATTGAACATTTTATCCACAAAGTCCACAGATTTTTATTCTTTGAGCATTATATCAAATAAAAAAATTAAAGCTGCACAGAGAAACAAACAAGCAAGAAAAAAAATCTGAGCATGCAGGGAAATGACTGCATCTAAAACCTATAGGTGTATGTACATATTGCTGGTTTTATTTGAACTAACTTCTTTTTACCCACATAAGGAAAAAGATTTAACTGATTGTAACAGCTTCTTAGCTGTTTTCACTGAAAAGAATTATGTTTAGACAGTTCTGTATAAAAAGTTCAGTCATGAAACTCTAGAAATTTCATTCAACTCTCCATTTTTGCCACATTTCAAAACAAGGCACATTCCATTCTTAGCAATAAAAATATTATTTAAACATACTCAAAAAGGCACTAAGGTCTAACAAAAATATTCAGCATTTCCTTTTTATCTAATAAAGTATTAGTAAGACAGTTTGCATACATATTTATTTCCCAAATGAAGGGCTGACAACTTTCTCTTAAGCGTAAAAGCTAAAATTCAACTTTGCTAAATATAAAACTAATTATCAGGATACAGTATACAAAAATTATATATTTATGTAGAATACATTTTGTGTTATACTACATCATTGTATCTTTCACAAAAGATTTCTGTATTTAAAAAAAAAACCAAACACTTTAAAATTTAAATACATTGTAAGGTCATTCAAATTATTTTAAACACAAAAATCTACAAAACAGTGACATATACACAAACAGTTGGGAACTTGTAACCTAAAGATCACATCTTTTAATCAGACCTGCTCAAATGACAGCCTCAGAAGAACCCTCTTTGCTACTAGAAGCATCTGCATGGTTTTAAGACTCAACTATGCAAACTCCTATTGCCCCAGGGCAGTGCTGCACAAGCCTATTCAAAGCGATCAGATTCATGAATCAACACCTTAAATTTTCCCAGAAAACCTCCAACAACAAGTGTTTTATGTGTATTATGACAGAATAAAACAAAAAGGGATGTCACAAGAATTTCAGCATGACAAGTTTTTCCCAAACTATTTTCCCATCGCACTTGGCAAGTGGAGAACTAATCCTATCACCTGTCTACTCTTACAGCAAGAACTGCAAACTACAATTCAATATAAAATACAATAACCCTCTATAATAATTATGTTCTTCTCAGAACAAAGATTAAAATAAAGTTAACTGTGCTAATTCATACTTTCCATAAATTACTATAAAGGTGAGAGATTCAGACATTTTGCTTCTGGATAATAAGCCTAATATCTGTATCATGTGCAAAAGTGCAACTGTGTTTTAGAATTGAGGCCCAACTGAATATAATTTCGTTATTACAGAAAATATACTTGAACCCACGTATCACGGAAAACAAGTGGTTCTTGGCATCTTAAAAATTACGCTTTACACAACCTGTTGTACAACTGCAAGTTAGTAAAAAAAAAGACAAACGAAACCCCCAGAAATACACAGAAAACAACAAAGCTCGTGTATAAATCGGTTTACAATTCAAAGCACAACAGTAAGCTTCAAACGATTACATTTGTGTGGCACACAGAGGGGTGGGATGAGTTATTCAAAGTACTTGGTTATCTCTGCTCTCTCTCTCCCTCCCGGTCTGGCGGCGGTTCAGCTGCTCGCCGTGTGTGCGTGCATACGTTTCGCTACATCGTACACGTAGGTGATGTCTGGTCGCTTCTCCGGATCCGGGTTGATGCACATATTAACTAACTGTCGCAGCTGGGGAGGGGAAACAACACGACAGGATCGTTGGCCTCCTTACAAGCAGTACTCGTGCATTATCTAACCCGAATTAATAAGATCGGCAAAAATTAGCCGAACAGCAGTTCTGCGTAAGCACTCCCTCAACCCTCCCTCTCTCGACACGCAGTTTTATGCAAGGATGTATGCAGTGTGCTCCCAGGATCATTACATTTTGCACTGCTGTGCACAAAAACTGAAGAGCGAATTTAAGTTCCAATCCTTTTAGCATACAACTTCAGGCACGCAATTTAGTCCAGCCGCACACAACCTACAGCAAATTCCCAGTGTTTTTGGAGGGGTGTGCCTGCAAGCCTCAGAAGGCTGAGGCGAGGTAAATGAGGACTGGTTGCTCATTCACTCATACAAGAGTTAGCCAGCAATAAGTGGCATTTCTGCATGACAGGTTCCAAGGAACAAAAGGCAGCGGTTCTCCTTCTAACACATGGTTAACCCGCAGAACCTCCCGCTGCCAGGAGCTACCAAGGCACACACAGTCAGAAAGCAACGGAGCAAATTAAACCCACTGTGGGCTATTTGTTATAAAGACTTCACCCCTGAGGAAATTTCTGAACTTAAAACCGGAAGCTGGGGAAAAGTACACATTCTATTGGCCCTGTTCCTTCACCTGTCCACTGTTGAAGATACTATATTGGAATAAATAACCTTTGCTCTATATCCTGGTATTTATTCCTTAGGGTTAGATCATTTATTGTGTTGCTTACGGAAAGGACCTAATTAAGAAATATGTTCACAAAAGCCTGGAAATAAAGAAACCACTACAGTAGAAAACCCCTCGTTTCCACACACACCATAACTTAATGGGCCTTTTTAATGCACATGTCCAGCAGAAGCAACCCCAAAGAGCTTCCCCACCACCTGGATACCTTTCATTGCCTTCCCAACCCGCAGGACAGTTGAAAGTTTTCTTCCTCCATTTATATGCCCAAGAACTTATGGCATTAGAACTTAGTATATTGTCTGGATAACCTTCTGATAGGGCATGTTTTTTAAATTGTGTGCAAGTCCTAAGTGTTTTTCAACATGGAAAATATCTCTTTCATGAAGACTTGATAAAATGTTTACAATCCTTTGCAAAAAAAACTTAACCAACTCTGAAGCTCTTCCTTTATGCTTTTTAGTAGTTTTGCCAAATCCTCCTGGATCTCCTTATAGCATTAGGGACAGTGGAGAGGGGGAAGGACACTCCAAACGATACATGGTGATCCACCCTTCTACATCAAATTTGGTTTGGTCTCCCATGCAGTACTGTTAGGTATAATTATTGAAAAAAGGTCTATAATTATTGCAACTAACACAGAGCAACCTCATCACCCTGAGTATTCAAAAGTAACGCAGGCTGCCTCTTCAAACCTGCCATCAGAGAGTTTTCCTCCTACCTTTTATAAAAAGATTAAGAAGGATTTTAAGTTATAATTCTACTCCTTTCACTTTTCACAAGATTAATTTAAATGCATGGGAATAGGAATTCTTGAAGTTAAGAAGCATTGCACAGCTCTATATAAAGCTTTGTCCATTTAGCCTTTGCAGATAAACTGCACACCATGTGTAGGGATTTTGTACTTAACACAAAACCTGTGTCATTGGACATCCCTACTCCCTGGCAAAAGTAGCTTAATATATAAAATCAGAACATTAATTCTGAAGACAGCAGTCAGTTTGCTGGATTGAAAAGAAACATATTAAATCAAAATAATCTGTGGCAGACTTGCTATTTGAATCTTAAATATCTTAAACACATTTCCACTAATGGAGTTATAAAAGCCATCATATTGCTTTTGGCAGTAAGTAAATAAAATACAGTGTCAATGACAAGAAAAAGTATTAGCCTGTAATAACTCAAAAATATTTGAAGAATGATAGAAATCATTAGCTACTGTAAGAAATGATAATTTCCAGCATGTAATACAAACATGCAAAGCAAAACAGTCTCCTGCAGAAGAAGCAGGTGGGACACAGTGTAAGCAGGAGGCACAAGTGCACTAGCAGGGACAAGCAGCTTGCTATGTAACACCTCAGACAGCCTGCATGGAAAACAGCAGAGACTGAAGAACACGCAAAACCCTCAAGCCTGAAATTAAGAGTCAAGTAAGCAAACGTTTTGTAAAGAGAATACAGGTGTAATTTATCTGCAATATGCAACATCTGATCTTGAATGTATACATTTTCTCTGTGAAGACTTCCATCTGTTCAATAGAACTGCATACAGTAAATAGTCTTTGTAAGCATCCTTGAGGGATTGAAAACTATACAGCTAGCATCAGAGGGGAAGCAGAGTATTCTTTCTCCTGTTTTTCCCCATTGTCTATGAATAACTTTACTGCATGTAGAACAGCAAAAACAGATCTTCAAGAAACTTAAACCTGTGAAGCACATGAGAAGCCTTGTTTACCTCCAATAGACTAGTTCATGTCGTTCTGATTGTTCTCTCAGATTTTATTTTCTAAACTGAACTTTATAATCTAAAACCCAATTTCAGACTCAAACTGCTTAAGTCACTAAACAGTAAGCCTTCCTTCAGAGTTACTTTTGTTCTTGTTACAGAATATTATAATTCCAAGCTGCAATAAAATGGTCAAGAAGATTGATTGCTTAAAAAGATAGTGAAGCAAAATGGCATCGTTACTCAAAAGTACATGTAAGACTTTAGGTCCTATTAATCCCTGTAGATACACTTGGGAAAAAAAAAAATCATTCACCCACATGGTATATTGACTGGTGGCTTTTTACAGCTTCTTATTTTTTACTCTAACTGAAATGCATACATAGCTACCCTTGATAGAATGCAAGAAAGAATACATAAGAATCAGTTTACTTAGAAATTCTCTTCCCAACATAATTGGTGAGCTCCATTAGTGACAAACCTTCACTAGTACTGTAATAAAGTAAACCACGGGGTCACAGACCTCTTAAAATGGTAGTCACTGCAATTACTGCAAAATCTCTGTGCCCCTCCTCCCCTGGGGAGTCCAGAATCTCTCTCAGTAAGGTCAGAATGCTGAGCTGACTATGCTTGGGACAGTGCACAACAATAGTGCATATTCCTCAGTAATTTCAAAACCCATGAGTTCTTTTGAGCCTTGTAATTGAACAGCAAACCCTTGGAAGAAGGTGAATAAATTTTGCTGTACAGGATGAAAATAGTTACATGAGAAGACAGTCTTTTGGGACTGAAACTGGGACCATGCTGGATACTAATACTTATTAGCACTATTGCTTTGCTCCTACAGGAATATCCATTTCAATAAACCTGAAATCCATGTCAGCCCCTCTATATGTATCAGAAAAGCTCACCAGTATCATGGGAAGAGGCACTAGGATTCTAAAGTCAGACCATCATTAGAGATGGGAGTAGTTTTTTTATTACCTGGCACAGACTGTCCAACAGGCAGAGCAGACTTATGACTGAACTAGAGGGACCTCCTGTTGCATCCCCAAGCTGCAAACTTCTTTGGCTGCTTACTGTTCTTAACCTCCTCTGTGCACTCAGCACAGTGACTGTCTTTAGCCTGGAGCTTAGCCTGACATTGGAGCAGTGGGACACACTTCCTTTAACTTCAGCAGGCTTTTCAGCTATGAAATAAATAACTATCAGACAAGTCAGAAGGAGAGGGAAAGACAGAAATATGACAGGCAAGTACTTTGCATTGCTAGCTAGCTGAAAAAGAAATTTTCATACAGGGAATTCTGGATGAAAAAACCCCACAAGATTATTATTGCTCTGAATAGGAGATCTTCTTGAAGCCTCTTCTGAGTGCTTTTCTCAAGACCTTCTGCTGGCAACTAACACTATCATCATGCTGGCTCATTCAGCTTTCACACCTGGATAGGAGGTCAGAAAATGGATAGGAGGTCAGAAAATGGACTTTAGAAGAAATGCACCTCAATCTAAGGGAAGATATTAAAACTTTATCATGAAAGCAATGTGATATTAATATTGGCTGACAAGATTTTAAGAGTATTGATTGGGGGTGGCAAGGGAGCCCCAGCTTTGAATTCCCTAAAGCAGAACAGCTTTCAGTAAATGCTGAACGCTCACTCTGAATACCAGATGTTTTTAACAGATACTAAAAAATTGAGATATCCAGAGTTATTAAGCATTGAAAGTTTTGGCTTGTGTCTCTACCACTGAAGCAATAGTTTGTGAAAATGCATCTTAGATTATTAGAATTTCTAATCAAAGGTTTTTAAAAAATATACCCATCTGTCCATCTAAAGATGCATCTTTCTGTCACACTATTCTCTAATGACACAGATGTGATACATTACTAACAGGTTGGTCTTGTAGAGGATTCAAAATTTTGAAAAAATGTCACACCTTAAAACTCACTAAAATTTACATACAGAAAGTTTCTCAGAAAACCACTTGTCTTGTATTTCATAATGAAAGTATTTACACTCCCATATTAGAGGACACAGAGATCAACACTGAGTGAAATTTTTCTTTCAGAAAATCTTGGTCATAAAAAACAAAGTGGGCTTTACTGATCAGTGAACCCTGATCTTTACTGATCACTGAGTGTGCTTCTGACCTGCTTAAAGGTTTGACATTTAAATTTCTAGTACAGGTGAAACACTTAGGACAGTATCCTAATATGACAGATAACACTTGTTTCTCTTTTTTTTTGAGTTCTTACTAGCACAGTATTTTTTCATACAAGTAAAAAAAGGTCTATTTTGGTGCAATAGCTAATAAATGTGTTTTCCACGTACCTTAGTGAAGGCACAAGTCTTCATATCAGAACATAATGTTCCCATTACAGCTTCCATAGCTGATGACTTCCTTTAAGTAACTATTTTCTTACTTATCTTGATACCTATAATAGCTCTGAATTCTCTCATTATCTTTCAAACAACTTATATGTATTCTGCAAGTAACTGGTTTATCCACCGTGCAGAAGTACGTCTGCTTTGAAATAAACAGAAAGTAACATGTTGTGCTTTGCATGTGTTTGCAGCACGAGAGACTATACAGATGTAAGGAAAAGGTGGAATCTCTTTCCCCATCCAAACCCTGAGACCTTCTATCTGGGCCAGACTTTGATATTTGCCCCTTGGCTGGGAATCCACATCTCCAACTTCACACTTAGCTGCAGCGAAGTAGCCCTGCAGGCAGGCCAACTTCAACGAACCACTAGTGGTATCATCATTAAAATCCTGCTGAAGGTCACCATGGAAACCGCCTGCTGAGGCTTCGCTGCTGCACTCGGCATCTCCTAATCAGCTACCATGTGAAATGCAAATTCAGACAGTCTGAAAATTAGTCAAGAAGAATAGAGGATGAGGATGCAGATATGTGAAATATTCATGCGCTTCATGGAAAAAGGAAGACAGCATGAATGACACAACAAAGAACGGTCCCTGACATTCTTGCTATCATTTTGCATTATTGTTCACACCCTACTGTATTTCTAGGCCTCCAGTTCTGAAGTTGGTTATATGAACTGCCATATTTATAGTCTGCAATAAATAATAATTAAAAACGGCCAAGGTAAAATAACTAATTGGAAAACCCACAAAGAGGTATAGTGTATAAATTACACAATAGATCGCTATTTCATCCTTTGTAACATCACCCAATTATCTTTTTAAGTCCAGTTTGTTTCATAAAAGGGGAAAAATTGTCACTATAAATACAAAACAAAACACTAAGTAGTAATCTTTTATTAATAGTCCAATCACTGTCTTTGAATGCAAGAAAATTTAAGGTTCAGAATTAGAAATCCCTACTCTATAAATGAAATTGCATAATGTTTTATGTTTATTTGCTTTTTCAAAGTAATCTTTAATTCATGTAGGCTCAATTCAATTAGAATTGGTTACTAAAACCTGTTCTCTGGTTTATAGCTTCTATCAGTTTGCCCTGTTCTTTTCAAACTGGGGAAGTATTTCAAAACTGGCATCTCAGAACATTAACAAGCAAGTGTTTATATTTTTCCATTCTGTTACACTAAGAAAGGTATTTATTTTGTTTAGTTTCTTTTCATTTTATAGCTAAAAATAATATTCCCCCTTAAATGCACTAATGACAATAAGAACTGTTACCTATCAACTTAAAAAAAACACTGTTGCGATATGCATGAGTTTATTGCTCTAATTCAGTTATGTCTGCCTATACTTCTCTGAAATTTACTATTAGTGTTGTCAAGAACCACTATTTCTTGCAAAGAACTGCCATTCAACAGTATTGAACAGCACACTGCAGTTTTATAACGCAGGCAAATGGGAACTAAACAATTCATTTTTACTAGCAAGTTACATTATATCTATTTTAATGCAGGCCCTCAGAGAACCAAGGCCAGCACACTAATTTACTGTGCAACATAAACTTGTTGTGCTTTTAGAAAAGCATACTATGGATGTAAGACTCTATCCCATCCTGGCATGTGGAACATACATCATTGTGCATTCTGGGAAAGCATTCTGTCATACTTGCAAGGAAGCCCAATGAAATTAAGAATCTAACTGTGTGACGTTTCCATCATTAATACTCTCAAATATAAATCATATGAGAGACTTGTTTTGACAGGAACATTTGAGTGAGTTCAACAAGCAAACACTTATGGGCATAATCTGCAAATAACATAAAATCACACAATTTCATTTGTTTCCCTGGAAGCCTGCCAGCTTACATAAACTGAGTATCCAGCCCATTAAAAGGAAAATTACTTACTTCCTCTGAATAGTGATCTGAAGGGAGAGGTGGGTAGTCACACTGTTCTATCTTCTTGCACAGAGAGTACAAGTTCATTTTATCACCATAAAAGGGACTCTGCAGCGCAGCCATCTGTTTAAAGAAAATGGACAGTTTTCTTTTGTGTTTCTAAGTAAACCTATTTTGTCATAAAATCCGTAACACTCACAAATCAAAAGTGATTCTTAATGACTTTGATTCCCTGCTTAGATAAAGTGTTGCAGTGCTAAAAACAGAAGTTCCAAAACTACCAGTGTAACCAGTGTGTGTACTTGTTCTACGTAGTGCAATCACAGCTGTCACAGTCCTCAAAGTGCAATATTTGAGTTGCACACCATTAGGATTTTATTAATAGAGAATGAAGAAAAATCCAGTAGTTTACAACAGTGCTCTGAGTGTGGAGGGTCCTTGCACCATGAGGGAGACCAAAGAAACCCAAAAACATACTTTTCCTCTGAAAACCTTTGGAAGAAAACATGACTTGTATGAAAACATTATCTGACCCAAAGCAATGCAGTGTGTAGAAAATGCTGGGTAATAGCAGTAGAAGATTTTGTAACCTTCCACAGCCATGACACTAGACTGCCATACAGCTGGGGTTTTTTTCAAGCAAGAAAACACTATCATCTACACTTAAAAAAAAAAAAAAAGACCAAAAACTTCATAGTTCAGTATGTTATTCAAAAAGATGCTCAAAAAAAAAAAAATCCCAAAACTTCATCAGAAGTACGGAACTGGCACCTACAGCTATAATTTACAATTAAAATATAAAAACGAGGAAGTCTGTTGCAGAGCACTTATATAAAATGACAGCTTAAAACCAGCATTAGTTAACCTTCCCTTTATTTCCAGACAATGTTGCAACTTGACATTTAAGGTAGAAACAACAAATGCTATGGTTAAATGAATTTTTATATTTCTAATGCAGCTAAAATCTCTCCATTCCATTCAAAACCTTCGAAATCTTTTAACTGCAGCAGCATGAATGCTGCTCTGAGTGCAGAGCTGCCCCAAAGTCAGTCACCCTTTTCTACATGTGCTAATAAGTTTGATTTTGGAAGGACAATGTGTACATTCCCCAGACAGGCAGAGTGTGTGTGAAACACGCTAGTCCATGCTGTGCTACTCAGTGAGCTTCAGCAGGGACAGGACAAGCTGAAAATGGCTCTCATCTGTCTTGTGGTCTTCCAGATAGCAGTTTAACTCTTTCGTGTCTAAGCACCAATATCACTGAGGGAAATGTAGGAAGAAAATTACCAAAATTCTCTTACGTTTATTTTGTGTCTGACTAAAATGCTCTCATATAGTTCAGTACTTTTTCATTTTACCTTCAAGGAAGGATAAAAAAATTGTAAAGCTCCCAAGACAAATATCATGCTACAGTTCCACCCTAAACTCCTCCCAAAAATTTTGTAAAGGTATTACCAAAATAACGTTCATTTCTGGATTTTCATGACATTGTCTCTTTCCTTAAAAAGAATGTTAAAAACGCAAGCTAAAGACCAAAAAAGAAAAATCAACTGCAGGGTCTGTACACATGCAGAAATTCTAAATAAATGCACAGATACTCATTTTCATACTCTAGGTGTTCATTAAAAAGTACTTTTGTTTGAATGCTGCCGAGTGTTAAAAAAAAAATCCTGAATGTCCCCTAAGGAGTTAAAACAGGAATACTATATTTTCATGCATCTCCTGCTTTGACAGATGAAAAATGTCAACTGTCCTGTTTTTATTTTCAAGCTTTTGCACTATTCATCTGGTTCATTAGTGCATCTCGCTGCTGCCCCTGACAGCTGCTCGCCCTCTCCTCCCAGCAGCTGAATTTTTCAGGCTAATTTGATCCTCCACACTGAGACGATCACTAGAATGATTGACTTGCTCCCTGACCTCCAGGGTCTGACTTTCCTGATTAGTATTCTGGGGGTGTCTGAGGGACGAAAGCCCACTGTCTGTCTTCGGGGCTGGTGGCAGCTCGCTCTCTCTCTTTTTTTTTTTCCCTTTCTTTTTTTTTTTTTTTTTTTGAACTGTAAGCCACCAACCTACAACCCTGTAAGGATGCAATTGCTACGCTGAACAATAAAAGGAAATGTGTAAGACCTACTTTTCCATGTAAAGGTCCGTGTAGCAAAAGCACAGCATCTTGATTTTAATTAGTAAAGTCTACTTTGTTGCATATCAATTAAAACTCTAGAGGTAGTGTTTTTGAGGCTTCAGAAATACCTGGGGCTCTAAAAAATTCAGACTTTTAAACACCTCTAAAATTCTTATTGGTTGCACAGCATTGAATAATACATTGTAATATGCATTAGAAATAATAATTTTTAAAAACAACACACATTACAGCAAGTTAGTCTAAAATTAAAACATAACTGAAAAGAGTTTAGTAGCAATTAAGCATTTCTTGAGATGTGACAAATCTGCCACAGCTTTTTTTCTCCTATTAACCTGGAAACAATCCAGAGTACATATGAGCACATATCACCATCAAATCAACATAATAAAACATGCTCAAATGCAGGCAATGGACATATCACAAAAAGACACCAAGCACAAAACTACAGATAAAATGAATACAATGCATTAGTCCACATAAGTCTTGGAAGAACCTCAAGTAACCACTTTCAAATAATTTTTAAATAATGATTATACTGAGAAAAATGCTGAGCATGTATTTTGAGTTTGCTATACCTAAAATTTCAAAATTACATTTCAATGCTCTATGAAAAGCCCCAAAACAAAATAGGAAAACCCATCACAAACATCTGGTGTGCTGCAGAATTAACTAAATGGGATAAATGCACCTCTAAAAAATTTAAAAGCTATAATTGAAGACACCGCCATATACTGTAGCTATATATCAACAATAAGGGTCCTAATAACTATTTTATATTTATAATAAGGAAAACAAATACTATCATACCAACTTCAATACCATCCTGTTAAAATGTCTAAACTAAATCAAAGGAGAATGCTATTTCAAGATGCTGAGTGAATCAATGGAATTGAGATATTTAGCTGTTTTGAAATTCTTTACCAGATCAAACAAAAATTTAATATTCACGTAAGTGTTTAATATACTGTACCAGCATAAAGGCAGAAAGCTTAAAAAAAAAATGAGATCTTTGGAAAAGTGCTACTAATTTCTGTCCAGCAATTTAATTTCCTATAACATAAAAGAAAAATTAAACTTAAAGCATGGGCTTTTTACATAATGATTTCTTATTCAAAGGTTTTATATTTCTGCTTCCAGATTTAAAAAATTCCTCAGGAAAACCAACGAGTAGCAAAGAAGCAGAAATACTGAAAAATGCTCATCTACCTTTGTGTTACCTTTGGGCTTGTGCAAGTGTGGACAGCAAAGCACTGAAACTGATGGCAGCTGCCATGGTCAGCACTGAGGAATTCCAATACAGGATTAGGTTTTAGTTCAGAATTTCAGCTTGTAAATGCTATCAGCTATGAGACATAATTCCTGTGAATCATCCCCAAGGTTCAGAAGCAAAAGCTATACATAGATCTGCAAACTGCACAACTGCAGTAGAGCTATTTGCTCTTAATATTCAAAGCAGCATGCCAGTGATAGAAAGTAAATGAATATTACTGGAGACAATTCACTAGTAGTAACACACAACTTTAACAGGCTGACAGTGTCTTCTACAAAATCCTAAAATAAACAGGAGGTGCTGATACTGTTGAGTGTGTGTTAAATGAATTCCACCGACTCATGGAGGCAGGTGGCTTTGAGGTAAACAAAAAGTGTATGACTTGAGTATATTAGTTTTTGCCTGGAAGATGACTAGGAAGACTTCACAGACATTGTTGATGGAAGCAAATTTTTTTCCAGCATCCTTCAAGACAACTGTTTACTCTTTGGATCAAGAAATTATATGCAAAGATCTTGGAAGACATAATTGCCTTGGAAGCCTACCTGTTTTTAACACCTTCATTTGCCTCCATTTCAATTTGCCTTGTATCTTTATTTTCTCAGAATATAATACTATTTCAAATTACCTACCAATCTTGAATGTAGAAATACAGAAATTAAACATTAATTGCAGTTTAACCAATCGTACAAAAATAGAAAAGTTACATATGTCTGTGCAGCAGAACTCTTTATCTTGAGAGATAACCCAAGCTAGGAGCAATAACTGAACATTTTCTATTGTTTTACTTAGGTTTTAGATATTCATAAAAATAAGAATATTTATTAAAATTAGAAATTTTTATAAAAGTAACTTATTTCAAAGAATCTATCGTGAAAACACAGAAATTTTATATGTGCTTGTTATTATTTATAAATATTCATATATTAATCCTTCATTTATATTAATTTATTAATCCTTCATTTATATTTATTTATTAATCCTTCAGTTAAGCCCAATCTTCACCAAATTGCTGCAAGATCTTTGTAGCAAGCCCAGCAAAAGGCAAGTCTCAACTAACACACACATAAAAGTATTCCATACACTGAAGTTACATAAGGGGAGTGGGGGGGGGGGGGGAAGTACAAGAGCGTTATTAAGTTCACTGTGTATATCAATATTACCTCATACAGCAGACAGCCTAGAGACCAGATGTCAGATTTGAAGTTGTAACCATTTTCATGTATCCTCTCTGGAGACATATAATAAGGTGTACCAACTGCAATAAACACAGAAGTATTTTTGAATGAAAATTTCTGTTGTTACACAGTAGTAAAATTACAGTTTTCCTGCCTGAAAAATATTTTTCATCTTCTATTTCTCATTTTGCTACACATATAATTTTGAGTCTTATTTCTGACACCTCAGTTTGACAGAAATACATGAATTCAATATCTGTTTCATTCAATACAGTTTTATTTCCACTACTGATAGCTAATTACCAGAACTATTTCAGTTGTAGAATACTTCCAATTTTTGCTTTTAGAGAAGCTCAAAAGTAATTACTTTCTCCTGAAGAGAACCCAGGGAACATAATAAACACATACACACACACATCCCTGCTTCTGTTCCAAGCTGTTATCACTAGCTACAAACAACAGCTAGAAATTCTCTTCCATGGGTTGAATTTCATTATTTGTTTTGCAAGTTGTCTGTTCTTTCTGAGAACATAAAAATCTGAAAAAGCTGTTTTTGAGACTAATAAACAATTTAGTTTGAATAGCTGGAATTAAAACTGAGCCTGAAATCCAGGACGTTCAGAGATGAAGGCAGGGAAACTTGTGAGCCCAGCAGAGGTTGATGTTCCCATAAGCAACTCAGCCTTTTGCTGCAGGACTCAACTCCATGAGGGCTTTTCAGCTCCCAAACCTGTGCCTGTCCCAGCTTAATCCTGTCTGAGAGCTGTGGGCTCTGGAGACATCTGCTCTTGCTAAGCAGCATTTACTAGGACTGCCCCAGAGTAAATTTACATTGGACATCCAGCACATCTCTCCCCTTCATTTTAATCCAACTCTGCCCATCTTTACTAATTGGAAGAGAAAAATTCTGAGAGATGTTTCAGCTTTATAAAAAAAACACCATTACAGAAAAAAGTATCTGAGTGATGCGTTCTTAAATGATTGAGCAACAAAAAAAAAGCAGTTATGAAAAATAAGGACAGAAGTAATTTTGATGCATTGTTTATGAACTTTCTCTCTACATCCCAAAATGATTGCCTAACAGCAAAGAGTCACAAGATCTATGTAGAATTTTACTTCAATTTTGTTTAGAATATTTTCTTAAACACTGAATCCTGATGATGAAAACCAGCTGAATTCTGCCAATTCAATGTTTAGTTGCAAAATAAAATCAACTTAACATCTTGCAACACCAGAAATTAAAATCGGCACTCTCAATACAAGCTACAAAAATTAAGAGTATGAGGCTCACAGTACTATTTAACACAAAGATTTTGTAACACTTCTACACTTCTGAATAGATGAAGCTAATTCAGAATTGATCTCTGAATGAATGTTAGAAATGGAGATACAGTGAACACAAGTAATTCCACACGTGAGTAATCAGGTTAATAATTTTAAATTATCAGATAGATAATTTTACTCTAATCATTTCCAAACATTAAGGGTTTTGCTGTGACAAGGTGCCTTACCTTTCTTAGGGAGTTAAGGAGGAGGGAGAAGTACTTTCTTACTTGAAAGGCCCAGCTCAGACAGGGAAACCCTCTACCACCTTATCTCAGGTCAGGCCACTGCTGCTGGTAACCCATAAATTCAACTGATCTCCGTCTTGGTAGACAATACTGAAAGTCCATAGAAACTGAGAATGTGTTTCTGTAACGTAGGCAAGGACAGAAGTCCCCAGATTGTGCCCTACAATGGATCTGTCCCACTAAATATTCTGGGGCAGACTTGTAGCCCTCGGAAAGCAGGAACTTTGCAGCCCCTCTCCTTCAGTGCCGGTCTGAGGAATCGCTGCAGCTCTCTACTGAGACTGCAAGTGATCAAGAGCTTAAAAGGAGAAAGGCTGGGGAAAGGCAACTCAAAAAACTGGATTACTGCAGGAGACATTTAGTCTCATGGGATATTTGAATTCACTCAAGAGAGGAATGGTCAAGAGGAATGGTTCTTTCCCCGTGAAAGAATACACAGGGAGATGGGTGGACTGCAACAACAAAGTAACTACCAGAATATCCAAAGCAGCTCTGCTTTCTAATGTATCAACAGCAGTACTTTAAAGGGTGTTTAATGACAGATATCTTAACATTGGAAACTGTAATTAAACAACATTTGGCATGACACAGCTTTCATATTTTTATTATCCTTACTGTTTTACTTCTGTCTTGCATTTATTTTCTTTACCACCCCAAGGACTTGTGAGCTTGAACACCTCTGAGAAATCGCAGCTGCATTTTGCACCCATTATTTAATGCATTGGTTTCATATACTGCGGTGCTTTGTTGGCAGAATTCATCCAACAACAAAAAAATAGGTTTAATAATAATCTGGTTGTTCACTGGTTCCAGCAGCAGTGCCTTTGCTGCTCTGAGATATCACACAAGTAGCTGGCAGTGAGTAATGTGCTAGAAAGAGGCTTCACAGAAACCACAGGGGGCAGCTGAAAACATAGAGGTTTGAAGGTTCATAGACTACCAAAAGCAAAGGTAATTTTAACCAGTAGCTCTGGGAAACCTGCTGATACATTAGGGGTCTGATATGACTGTGAAAGATTGATGATAGTGAAAAGGAAGAACAAATGTTACCATTTTACAGCATTTAGCCTAGTGTAACACCTTCACTGCAATACAGCCTGAAGCCCCTGATGACCAACTAGTGAAAGGAATTGAAATTACCTATGTTAGTCATGGAATCACAAAAACAACTAGAAGATTCAGACATCATTACTACTTGTAAGTTGTTTTTTAACAGAACATGACACCAAAGATTCATAATTCTGACATTCAGGAGCTACTGAAAGCACTGCAATGATCCTTTTAACACGGTGAGCAATCTAGGGACATAGCTGTGCTGCTGGCAAGCAACTACCACTTGCAATTACACATTATGTTTCCTTCCTGGATTCTTTTTTTCTGTTAAGTGAAATACAGCACCCCAACAGCATAGAGATAGGCAACTTCCTGACTTCCTTTACTCATCTGAAGTTACAGAAGTGGGATAATACAAGAAAAAGACATAATCGATTGAGGTGCTGATTTTTTTTAAGATGAAAAATCGGTAACTTTAGTGTTCTCTTCACCACATTTGCACATCTCTGATAATCTGCAGGTCTGAAGAGTAAACTCCTTTGAAATGGTTGGGGTCAAATACAGTGCTTCCTCAGAATCTGCTGCTGCTCTGGAGCTCCCTCCCTTAAAGATACTGTAGATCCAGAAAGTGTTGATTCTACATGCAAACTTTCTGCTACTGGGAGAGGGAATGGATATAATGGAAATGGTGGCAAATAGGGAGCAGGAAGTTAGACTTGAAGGCTCAGAGGCAAAGAAATCTACTATGAAGAAGGGAGTTATGATATAAACAATCCATCTTATCACCTGCATAAACACATAATTCACACCACTGAGTTACAGAGTGTGTTCACTTAAAAACTGAGCGCATCAACGAGTGCAATGAAATGCAGTAAACTGCTCTAAATACTATCAAGCTGGGAGAAAAATCTGCCTGGAAAATGTTAAACCTACTCATACAAAACAATGTAATGACTGACTCAGAAGGGGTTTATCAGCCTATCGTTTTAAAAAAAGGCCAACCACTGACAACAAATTCTCTAAGACATGGCACTTCGCAATGTGGTTTAGTGGGCATGGTGGTATTCAGCTGAATGTTTGGCTTAAGGGTCTCTGAAATCCTTTCCAACCATAATGATTCTATAACGTTGAGGGTTTTGTGCATGTTTAATACAGGCATAGATTTCCAAGTCAAGGGTTTGTCTTCAGCTACAGATACAGGACCTAAAATACCACACTTATCCGAAGTAATTCTGCAATCTAGCCCACATTATGCAAATATTTATTATAGAAGTCTATCTATAAGTATCTTGGGTTATTTTATAATGGAGCATTGTAACAGCACAACAATTTATCTTCAGCTTTCAAACTACTGTAAGAGTAGTACTCTGTACACAAAATATGAGCTGTTTTAATACAGCTTCTTTGATGACTGCAATTAATCCGCTGCAGATTTCCCTGCCAGCCTTCCTGTACACGTTAGAAATCCACACACAAGAGAAAAGACGTGTATTTGCATGTATTTTCATGAGGTATTTTATTCCCCACAATCTTCATGAGTTTATAGTTAAACCCTCACAACATAGCTCTTGGAAATGACAGAAGTTGTCAAAGCAAGAAGAAACACCAGAACTCAGTAGAGATGATCCTTTGCATTCAAGCATTTTAATAAAATTGCATATCTGCTACTTTGACCCCCAAGAAGGTATTGACATCCTGGTGGCAGTGCCTGCCTGGACAGCACACTGTGCAGCTTTATAGCACAACCACAGCAGAGAAATGAAGTGATTCTTTCTGTAATGGAAATACTGACATATGGACTATTTTTACATCCACTGAATGGCTAAAAAAGAACGTTTGTATGTTTCCATGAGTTGGCATTAAAACTGCCATGTCTCTGAAGAGTGTAAGACCTGGCCTTCAGCCATTAAAACAACAACTACAAAAAAACCCGATAGTCATAGGGAAAGGTATATGAAGCCTTTGTTGAACCATATTCCCCTTTCTAATATAAAGTCTGCTGAAAACAAGAAATTCTGTCAAGTTTGTATGCAATCCACAATACCAAATGCCTCCTTTCCCTTTGCACCTTTGGAAGAAAGGTTTCCTATTTTCAAAACGGTATAGACTTGACACAATTGAAAAATCTACTTCTTGATAAGGCTGTATAGAAAGAGTTAAGAATATGAACAAACCCTGTCCAGCACAGTTCATCTGTTTCAAATGGACCATCAGTAAGTATTCTAATTAAATCAGTATTATTCATAATTAGCAGTTAGAAGCTGTACCTAATTAAAATTTTAGTACATTTCTTTATCTCTGAAAGCCTGAATCTAGTTTGCTACTGAAATTTTTATAAAGCCTGTAAACAAGTATAAATTGCTACACATATGTTTGTAATTCACTGGGTTTTGTGCACCAAAGGTTTATAGAATCATAAAAAGGTACAACTTTGAAGGAAATTTCAAGAAAACCAGCATCAGAAACTGCAGAAGAAATTAATTTAAAGAAGTGGTCTCTGCTAGTGACATGATAAATCAGAGAGTCACTGTCTCCCCTGTAGCCAAAGTTAACAGCTGGAACAAACCTTTTTCCCAGGCTGAATTCTGACATTAAGTCATAATTAAGAGTGAAATGGGAAAAGAGGAGACAGGGGAAAAAGAATATAAAAAATAGCAGCTCCTTCACCAGGACACAGCACCCAACACTAGAAACAAAGCTGCCATCCTCCCACCCCCCACTCCCTGGATGATTCTTGATCTGTAAAAGATGAGCTTTAAAGGGCTTGGGGGTTTTACACTGTTTTTAACTCTGGCTCAGTCTCCAGCTTTTTAAACTTGTAGCTCAATCTTTGCAACCATTCCCCTGCCACAAGCCACAACAATCCAGGGTTGAGGTAGTTTTTTCCTCTTTAACTTCCTGACTTCTGCCTCAGAACACAGGTCTAACTCTGCCACCCTCACTGCTGACTTCTGCCTTTTTTGTGAGCTCCTAATCCACAGACTAGGATTTGCATCTCCCTCTTCACATCCCTTGTCCATTTGCCGACAGTAGCAGGACCCAACTACAGGTTGATCTCCACAGTGCCACCAGAGATGGACACTGGGTTATGAGGGCAGCACAAACAGCAGCACTTGAGATAAAATACTGCCACGTGCTCATAGCAGATCTTCAGTATGGAACTCAAGCACATTTCCAGTCTGGTCTCACCACTTTGCTGTCTCCTCCTCTCTCTTTTTTTTATTAATGCAAGACTGCATATCTGTGTCCGAGGTTCACCTCAGTCCAGTTAGGGGTTTTGACTCTGCCAACACAAGGATGCAGCAAACATGGTAAAAAACAGGAAGGCACAAAGGAGTGATCAGAGGCTTTCTAGAACACAGGGAAGTAAAAATTCAAAGTTTCGCTGCTAAAATATTTTCGGGGGCTGTTAACACAGGTATCACCCACATCTCAAATGTGGTACAAACACGCCATCACCATCCTCTCTTCGTCCATGTTCTACTGGTAACTGGAAAAATCTAAAGTTAAATTAAGAGATGAGGATAAATACAGCATATTTTAATTTGAGAAGTCTGCTATTTCATAATCTAATTACAAAGATCAACATCTGAGCAAAAACAGTTCTTTGTGTGTCCTCCCATGGCTCTGACATAGGCACTATAAGTATTACTTTATCATTTTTAGGAAACACTTGTTCAGAGGCAGAAATATATATTAGATAATTCAAACAAAGTGGGGAGAAAACCCAGTGAGCTGTAGTGCTGAAAGTACTGCCTCAGTGTTACAGCTTTTCTGTATTTGTCCATGGTGCTGACCATTTCTTTATTATTATTTTTATTATTATTATTTAAGAACACCTTTATGACCATGTTTTTATTAGTGTTCAAGAACAATATAATGGATGTAACTGTTTTCTTCCTCCTCTTGAGTGGGCACAGTATTTCCACCATGTAAAAAAAAAAAAAACAAACTACCTGTCCAACACCCGTACCTCAGAGAAAACTTACCTAAAGAATGTGCAGCTGTTGTTTTGGAGCTGAAAAATCGACCAAGCCCAAGGTCTCCAAGCTTTACCACTCCTGTAGCTGTAATGAACACATTTGCTGGCTTTATATCTGAAAGAAAAATAAATTAAATTTAAAAGTCACAGTAAGGTTGCAAGAAAAGCTACTGCTCTAATAATAGACCAAAAGAGGATTATATTTACTGCTACTATTGGTAAAACTGAATGGTACTGTTCAGAAAGAATGAGTCTGAAATTTAGAACTTCAACTATTTTAATAGTACAACCATTGCTCAAGCAAGCAAATCAAGAGCCATGGAAAATATTTTTAAAAAACCCAAGCAAACAAACAAACAAACAAAAGCCCCAACACTCAAAGCCACGCAGCAGACATAAGGCAGCTCATTACTACTTTATATAAGCTACACAAAAGTCTGCCATTAGAACTAAAGAACCTCTTGTTATGTCTAAGTAACAGCCCAGAAATGTTTTCAAAAAGTGCAAAAGATTTTTCATCACTTCTGCTGTTCAGATTACCCACAGTGACATGATGTTATTTATTTGAAATAGGTAACTGATTCTCTAATAGCAGGCATTAAAAAAAAAAAGAAGCAAGTTTTACTCAGGAGAATGGTTATTTGCACTCGTCAGTGGAACTGGGCTAATCAAGTAGAAACAAAGAAAATAATGATGTATACCCCAGATAGTTATTTTTCATAAGTAATATTCATTTTAAGTTTTAATCCAGTCCCTTAGAGACAACAGCATAGACTTTTATTTTATGATTTTTAAACAAGGTACCTATCCTGTTTCTAAATAAACTGACCTGTTACTTGTTTGGGAAGGGAGTCTACCTCATACTCAGCTCGAGAGCAATGTACCATGGCTCCAAACTTGAAGAAAATCACTTCACTTGGATAAGAGGGGATTACAGTTTGCATAAATAAGAGTAGAGTGAAAGGAATGGTTAATAACCCTTCAAATACCAGTCTTTTCAGGTTCCCAATAAAAGAGTTACAAAACCTTGTAAGCTTTACAGAGGAATACAGAAGCAATTACGTTATGCTGCTATCTGACCTAGTTTTCAGGAGTTTGGATCATCCTTTGTGTAATAGTCCAACATGGACAAAGCTAAACTTAAAAACAGCTTTAATTGTCATTGGCTTTGGTGTGTAACCATGGAATCAATCACTAGATTTGCCATAGGTTTACCAGAAGCTTTGAAGTTAATATTTCATTTTAAGGAACTTAAAATACACTTTTGGTTTTGAGTTTAGTCATAAAAGCAATAAAGGGAGATACCTGTACCCTATGGAAAGAAACTGTAATTTTATGTCCTTTTCTCTGTATCATTTGCCCTTGCAGGCATCTGTACAAATGAATAAAGGGGAAAAAAAAAGGAGAATCACATGGGAAAGCTGTTTACAGAGGCAGGGGCATCTAAAGCTCATCTCCTGAAGGGTGCAACATTTCTAGCTGCAAATCACAAATCCCAGCAGAGACCAAGGGGCTGCTGCCTTCAGGTAGCTCTGCATCCCAGCGGAAGGAAGCCACCAATCTAAGACATCCAATTCCCCCTGAACCCAAAAAGAGAGCCCACATACAACTCACAACCAGAGGGATTTCCAAGGGAAAAAAAAAAAATTGTGCTTCTTAGAAGCAGTTCTACTATGATCTATTTTCCTTGACTCAGAGTTAGAGGGTAGAATGAAGACAACATCCAGAGGAGACAACAGAGACAGCAGTACTGAGGTTTAAAACGGGCCAAGGAGGTTTAGTACCTGACAGGGATAGCTGGCAACTACGAGGGCTGTTGGGACACAGAACCTGACAGAGATGGGATTAGTGGTAGTGGAGAGGAGCAGACAACTGGAGAAAACACTCACAGCTGCACACAGTCCAGTAGATAAGGGACTGGGAGAAGGGTCTGTACATCACCATTAGGCACGGCAGGAGGCAAAGACAAGTAGGTGCAAGAGTTGGACAATGTCTGTGCAAGAAGGCAGGTAACAACAGCTGGATGAGACAGGGGGCAAGTACAGAAGAATGAGAACAGGACAAAAAATAAGAGCCAGAAAATTCAAGCAGCACGTGGCAGGGTCTCCATCACTTACAGAACTATCACTTGTTTGGAAAACTTGGTCCCACAAGCCATGGCCGCAAGCAAATGCCTATCACAACAAATGTACCACCACGAACTTTTGTCACAGTTTTCCATTACTTACAAAACGTTACAGAAACATACATTTTGTCAGCTGCCAAAATTGATTCCAACCGGCTTAATTCTCACACAGTAAAAGGCTTAGTAAAGACAAATCATCTTTGATCCTGTATTACCTCTATGCATAACACGACGAGAGTGCATGTGTTCCAAGGCACTGCAAAGCTGAACAAAGTACTTCCAAACTGTTCTTTCAGGAATCAGCCTCTTCTGTTTCTTAAAATGCTTAAAGAGAAAAGGACAGACAGTGAATACTAAAAATTAAAACTTGCATAAAATGACTAGAGAAAGACCAAAAATCCTTTATTAAAAAACAAACAAACAAAACACAAATACTAGGGGCTCACAACCTGATGATAAAGGTTTAATACAATTTCTTGATACAGAAAGCTTTTCCCTTAAATATTAATACATTTATCATCACACAGAGTTACAAATAACATTAATGCAATAAAACTGCTATCCCCCCCAAAAATTTATACAATATTTTGCAATCCTCATTGCTGAATTAATGTGGTCAGAATAGTCTAGCATGAAGTGGCCACAGGACAAAGAAAAGGGCAGATACAAGGGTATGTGCCACAGAACTTCCCAATCTAAATACTTCCTTACACCAACAGTGATTTCCATACCCCCATTTTCTAAATAAAAGAAAAACACAATAGTAGTGACACACAGTCACAAAGACCATGTAAGAAGGGTAGATTAGATTAGTCTTACAAACTTTTTCAATACATAAAAGGGGACTAAAGGAACTGATTTCTGAAAGTTTCATAGTGATCTAACTCCTGTTCAAATATTTTCCATCCTGTATAAAAAAGCCCTTACCAATCACCAGTAACAGTTCACTGGCCTCTTAAAGCTTAAGAGAAACAAATATGCTCTGCTACACACATCTTCAAATATTATATTCAGGAAGTGGAATCATAGCCCTCCGAAGATGCAAACTGAAAAATTGGAATTCAGCCAATGCTGAAACATACAAGTTTAACAATTGAAAATTTTGCAGCTAAAGGTAAGAAGACTGACAAATCGTTGCTCATTTAGCCTCTCTTTTTAAAGAAATTGTAATATGTTAGATTTTAAAGTTAAACAAACGAAGAAAACACCTAAACATTAATACTAGAAAAATTTTAGATGCAAAGCAAAGTACTTATATGTATCTTAGCAGTGTGTGTACACACACACTTCACATTCACAAACACCTTACAAAGTTCACATCAATATTAGTTTGGAAAAACAAAAATATTTCCACATACTATGTTAAAACACGCTTGACAGCTGCATCTACATGTAAGAGACATGCAGGAGTATGAGAAAGATGGTTTTAAAATGGCTGTAGCAAATGCATCAGCGATACAAAGGATCGCAACATTCCACCAGAATGTTTTTAGCTATAGGGATTATTTCAAAATGCATTTTCATTTAAATGAGGTAATGCATATAAATTACAATTTTAAATATAATTTTCTTTCAGTCTTGGACTGAATCCAAACAAACCCTGTGTATCTGTTCTCCCCATAGCTGAATTTGCATATCAGAGGATTGTTTGATGTCAACAGGAAGATGGAGACCAGGTTTCTTTTCATTTAAAAACAAATACACAATGCATGTAAGTATGTGAGCATGAAAGCATAGTTCCTTGATTTAAAATGCATTTTGAAATTATCATAATTATAACTAGGTACTTTATTTAAACATTCTGAATAATTATTTTTTTTAACTTGAATGTAAGTACAAGCAAGTGATGAAACATCATTCACAAAATGTCTGAAATGGGAAGATTTTCCATTACAGATTTCCATTCCAATGTACCTAAAGTACATCAATGTACTTTCCAACTATTTATGTACAAGTTTTACCATTTTATTCACTTGCCATCTGTAGCACTGTAGCTGACTGTGCACTTAAAAATTGGCTTCAGTTCTTACACTGCAAGGATGCAATGTAAGTGTGTCAGATGTAGTCTCATTCCACCGAAGGCATTAATAATTTTGCAGGATAATAATCCCTTCTTGAAAGCATCAATATTATTACTTAACCCGATAGAATTTGTCTAAAGAAGATGAAGAAAAGCTGCGAGATTTGCTAACAGAGTTTAAACTAAACAAACAGGCACCATTTTCACTTGTACAGATTTAAAAATAATCTAGTTATCTTTAAAATACGCACAATGAACATTATTTTGTTTAGCAATTAATCACACTATCTTTTTAGTCAAAATAAATATTTTCAATGCTTTCTTGGGCTGTTGCCCAAGAAAGGCAAATCCGTGATGAAAAGCCCACACTATCAAAAAGATTAATTTTGCAAAACTAGCTATTGAAACAAGTTGTATGCTTCCAAGAAACAGTCTAGCAGGCACTGTTAATTCTGAGAAAAGTCAATAAGGAAGAGGAATTCCATTTCTGTTTCAAACCTTATATTCTCACAAGAAACACAAGTTAATGGAAAACCTGGTCAAACCTATTTTATGCTGAACAGCATCACTAAATTCATAGCTCACATTAACTGTATTCAAAGCAGGATCTTTTTCTTTCAACTCCATTTTAAAATGGTCCACAATGCAAAATGCCGTTCTGACGGCTGTGGCGTTTGCTCCCTCCCTACAGGGAAGCCAAAATGCAGAAGATACAATGCTGAAACCATGATTTTTAACCTCTGTTGTAGCAGAGCACAGTAGCAGCACCACAAACAGCCCATGCTGAACAAACTCGCTGCTTAGTTCAATAATGCCTAAGGTCCACACCATCAGGATAACTTAACACAAGTTATCTACCATTGTACACAGGTTGATATTACCTGTCCAAATCTGCCCTCACAGGAATCCAGCCTCATGTACACCTCTCCAAAGTACTCATCTGCAATACTTCTTCCACCTGTCTCAGGCTAAAAGGACAGTGCTGATGTCCCTCATACCCCTGACATTAAAAAAGCATGATCCTGTTTGAGATCTCAGCATGGCTGAAACTGGGCGAAAAGGGAACTGCTCACACATGTGCATTAACAATTTAGGCAGTGCTGCAAGTGTTTTATCAGGTAAACAGAGAATACCAGGCATGCTTAAGCAGCAGGTTGTCTTCCAGCAAGAATTATTTGTTTCAAGAGCCATATCCCATGAAATTTCCATCTCCATCTGAGAATGGAATCACAAAAAACTACTTTGTCTGACATGTCTTCACAATGTCAGTATAGGTAACACTGCAATTCAGTCATTCAATGCAACTGGAAATTTTTGTCATAAATTTGCTAATCAGATGTCTTAAAGAGCTCTAAAGCAGGCAGACTGTATCACCAGTTCATATTTTCATCCCTTTTTACAGAATAACCGAGCAGTTTGCCAATAAGAAAATGTAACTCTGCTGGATCTCTAATGGATTGCTAAAAAAAAAATTAAATATTCTTCTAATGTTTCCATCCTGGTCAAGTTAAACATAGCTGCCCTGCACGGTTCAGAGAATACCTAGGACTGTGTTTGGATTTTATAAGAAACTTAAGGATTTCCTGCACTTGAGTAGACAGTGAATGTAGATGATTTCAACACAACTCGAAATTTCAGATATGACTCCCTACATCTCAGTAACCACACTTGGAAAAAATTTAGTATTCAGTTCTGAATTGGGTGTATCAGAGGATTTTACGGTATGATTTACCCTGCTTTAGGCCTCACTGAATAGGAAAAAAAAAAAAAAAAAAGGAATAAATTAAAAGAAGACAACCCAATGAGTGTTTAAGAGGCAAACTGGACCAAAGCAAGACGTTTTATGAAATTCTCTTGCTAACAGTTGATAATTTTGCAGAGTCATTACTTTTAAAAAAAAGAACAGAACTGTGAAATTGTCACATAAGCCCACAAGAATATATACCTGAATTTTTCACTGCACAGGCTGTTGCCTAGAGTTACCTTCTGAAAGACTATGTTTGGGAGAAAAGTGAAATGAGAACGACGATTAAACAGATTGCTTTCCCTTTCACCACTTGGTGAGACTCTAGATCACATCATTTTGTTCTCATGACAAAACTTCACTTCTGGCTTTCAAAAACATAAAATGTGAGAGAGGGTTACATTTTATTGCATACCCTTACCAGAATACAGTGATTCAACAACAGATACTAGTGGGAAGAAATCTGAACTTCAAAAGGAAAGTGATGCAGAAATTATTATTACATAGAATTTTCAAGAAATACATAATGAAGTTCTTGACCACTTCGGACTGTTTCTTTTTAATATGGATCAGTAGAAAGAAGAGAAAGAGGAAAAAAGAGATCAGGTAGCTGTAACTGGAAATTATGGAAGCACAACCTCACTCTGTGAATACAACAGAAACAAAGCACAACTGGCAAGGGCACAGAAGGCCAAAAAGACAGACCACTGAAGATAAACTTTAGCATCTCTGTGTTTTGGAGACTGAAGTAAATGGAAATGAATTACCTACACAAGTCTTATTTTCTATTTAAAAAGCTAGTACCAATGCAGCATCACAGGAGTTTTGTCTGGCTCTGCTCTTTCATGAATTCAGCTACCCATCTCTTTAGTCCATGGTAAGTTTTATGTCATTTTTCTTTGCTTTCTATACAGAACAAAAATAGAACTTCCCACCACATCCTGATTCATTCACTCAATTTGATCACAGCGTGATCAAATTTGCCTACATTTCAAGAGCAGCAGCTGTCTCTTAGTAGTAAAAAGAGAACAAATACAAAAAAAAAATCCAACCAACCAAACAAACAAAAACCAAACAAAACACAAATATTTGGCATCTGCCAACTTAACATATAGAAAATAGCAGGTACTCAGCCAATAGAGTGACTAAAATGAAAATATTTACCTGGTTCTTTTTCCAGCTTTTATTTACAGTTGCTTACATCTCCAGTTACTGAAGATACCATACATTTACCTTTTCCCTTTCACCCTCCACAAAAAACATCTTAAAAACCCAAATCTTCCTCTATCAGTCATCTCAGTATACAACACACTTTATTTAACCAAGAACAACAAAAGACTAAGGCACAGGACAAAAACTAGCATACAAAATAATGGTACTAATAGAAGTACCTAGAAGTATCAGAAGGACAAGTTACTAGAATTAAACTCTGGTCTTTCTTTAAAAAGTTAAAAAAACGCCACATGGACACCATAGAATTGAGATAGAAGCATCTTCTCAAACAATATTATCTCATACACAAGCAAAATAAAGACATCTACTAACAAGAAATAATAAGCC